GTCAATGTGAAGCCTGTAGTACGACTAGATATTAGTCAACTTCATTATCCCCAACAAATTATGGCCAAGCCTAGATTTCGACTAGATAACAGCTAACTTTCGATGCTCTCCAGTCAGGAATAATTCCCCAGCAAGAGAATTGAACAATCAAAACTCCTAAACTCTTTTCCCCAAATCGAGATCAACACTCTCCACAGAGTCTCCTTAAATAAGCCTTTATTCCCCAATGGAGTTTCTTCTCAAACAACATAACAGGAATTCCTAACGGAAACAGTCTAAACAACAGTTCAAGTCTCAGCCTCCCAAGGCTCCATAGCATGTTATCAAGGGTTTATTTTCCTAGATAAAGACAGTTGCAATGAACGCATCACATTCATAAACCATAACGCATACATGACAAATGCATACAACATAATCTCATTTATTTTGAGAACATCATTACACCATACATACATCTGCATGCAACTAATCCTTTTTCCTTACAGGAAAATCAACAGGAAAAAGACATCTACTATCTCAGTATAAATCAACCAAAAGATTTATCCTGATACCATCCATCATCCCTCCAAATGGCATCTTTAAGCCCATTCCCTACACAATCAGCTAACATATCATCGAGTGCAAATTTCTGGGCACTTTAGTATTCAATCATCTTCCACCTTCAAGTCACGAATGGCAGGCTTGCCAATCTAACTCTTCAGGTTTAAGAAGATTGAACAGGGGTAGCTGTTGTACCCTAAAATTTTCCCTCTCATTTTTCAGGGCCTTTCTCACAAGGATTCTCAAGGTTCAAGCTTGCACAAGTACAATGGGATTTTCCAGTACCAAGATTAAAAGGAAACTGTTAAAAAGTGAGAAAATAGATAAAAATAATATTTTGACAAAATTTGTAGAAAAACAAGTGCTCTTCGATTCAGCTCCTTCGATTGGCCTTCTGGCCTCTTTCGATGCAAGTTTGGCTTGTATCCTTCAACTGGGCGTGGGCCTCTGGCACATTGGTTTGGATTCACCAGGCACAAATCCCCCTGTAGTATCCTTCGATTCCAAGGAAAAAGGCCTCCTTTCAGCATCCTCCAATTTGAATTTTTGCCTCCTATATGCCTCTTTCAGATATGGACATTTTGGCCTCCTACATGCGCCTTTCGTTTGGGCATATGGTTCCTTCAGTACAAGCTACTGGTCACACCTTTCGTTTGGGCATGTGGCTCCCGTTTTACAAGCTTTCGTTTGAACATATTTACATAAGGTCACAATGAAGGAACCTCCTGCATACCCTCTTTCGTTTGGACATATGGCCCCATTTGCAGGCAAATTCAAGCAGGCGATATCTCCCTTGGAAAAGGTTTCCTTCAACACACGAATTCTGCAATATGTCTTTGTCTCACATGAAATAAGTTCCATGGTGGTGCATTCGAAGGGCTTTCCAGGCATGTCTGGATGCCCCAATCGAATGACATGCATTGTTGACTCATACCTTGAGCCTGAATTTGGACCATTCGAAGGAACCCATGAAGGGCCTGGTCAAAAGGCACTAATTTGGCCCCTTCAAAGGACATCCACATGAGCCATTCATATGACACTTTAATTTGAAAAAAAGAAATGGTTGTTGAAGGGTCTGGTCGAAAGGTGTGGAAAGAGGGAGGATTCGACTCAGAAGATCAAGTTGAGCATTAGACCCATAGGCTAGGCTACGTGCTTCCCCTTTTCAGGCCTCAAACCTATGACTCACTCTATATTTAGTTGTTTATGCAAGTTAAAATAGGATTTTACCCATTTGATGTCCAAGACCACTTGCCCTTAATAGTATAATACTACTTTTTAGAAGAAAAAAATTTTCTTGAGCCTTGCGCCTATTTTCCTTCTAAGGAAGCAATCCATCTGAACCATTCATCTTGCTATCATGACACAAGTGGATGCTTACTTTTCAGATGAGCCTTTATTTTATTATTTTTACTCCCAAACATTTCAAATTTTTCCTCTATAAATAGAGAGTTCATTTACACAAGGGAGGAGAGAAAAAAAAGAGGGGAACGTATCTTCAAAATTCTTACACACCATAAAATTCTCAAAACACTTAAACACTTTGACAAATCAAAACCCAGAATCCAAGTGCTTGTCCCTCTCAAACTGGAAAAAAATCCTTACCTCTTACTGTCCTTCAAATCCAGCAAAGAAGGACATTTCACTTATTTTGCTTCCTTCGAATCCACTGTCAAAGGCTCACCCCTGGTATTTACCTTTGAATCTATAGGCATTCAAGGCAACCACTTCAAAGTCCAGAACACGCTCCAGCCTCCAGCAAGGTAAGTCATTCTTAACCTTTGACCCTTCGTTTCCAGCATAGCATATAAATAAGTTTTCTTTTCGTTTTAAACATATATATATATATATATACTATTTTCTTTTTTTTCCACTCTTTTAATGCGTGTCATGGCTAACAATCTTCTTGGATTTTGTTCTTTGTACCTTTAAACATGCTTTAAGCACTAATCTAGCCTTAAGGTGATGTTGGCATGGCCTTGGGTCATGTTGCTATTCAAACTCAAACGAAGGAAACATGAGATAGAAAGTTAGAAACGAAGCCTCTGGCTTCCATACTAACCTTCAGGCCAAACGAAAGAGGCAGCCAGAAGGCATAACATGCTGGCCTCCATGCCTCAATCGAAAGACACAACATGCTGGCCTCCAGGACCCAATCAAAAGACACAACATGCTGGTCTCCAGGCCCCAATCGAAAGACACAACATGCTGGCCTCCAGGCCCCAATCGAAAGACACAACATGCTGGTCTGCAGGCCCCAATCGAAAGACACGCCATGTTAGCCTCCAGGACCCAATTAAAAGGCATGCCTTCATCCCTTTTCAGGCCAGATCGAAGAGATCCATAAAGTGCAGAATCGAAGGGATTGCTGCCCTAAATCGAAGGATCCATTTTTCTTGTTTTTATCTTATTTTTGCCTTTATATCTTCATGCAATTCAATATGGTTGTAATAGTGTAGGATTTTATCTTTCTGCACTTTTGATTTTATGCAAAATGTTAGTAATTAGGGTGTATGGTAAGATAAAATCAACAAGTAGACCACCCTGATCAAAAGACAAAAATGCATGCAATCAAACACACTTTGCACACATGCACCTCTAGGGTTAACTCCACTTGTTGCCTTATGAAAAATAGTTATGTTATGCATGCGAGACATCTTAGCAAAAACAATCAAAAATACAAGATCATAGTCCCTCGATGACGCTTCGAATGTTGCCTTACAAATGATCTTAGTTCCTTAAAAGAAATGCTAAGATATCTCACAACATTACTATCATAACTATACGATGACCCACGTCTGTCCCTTTTACATCCAAAGATAAGGCTTCTTACCAATCAATGGTAAGATAGCAATATCAAAGGAAGGGAGGAATGAACAAAAGAATTTTGAGTAAGGTAGAATGTTCCTAGTTGCTTGCTCATCTTTAAAACACAAACACCTTTTCAAATGCACCAACACTTTCCATTAAAATATTTTCAAAAGTTCAACAATTTGTATACATTCTTATAGAGACGAGAATCATTACAAAGTTTTCCTAAACGAAGGAGCTTTTCAAAAAATACTTTCAAAAACCACCACAAAGCACACTTTCAAACAAAAGCAGGTGATCTAGAAAGAAATTAAGAGCCCATAGATAACTAAGGATGAAAAGGATGCTAATACCTTCCCTTTTCATAATCTACCCCCCGAACTCAAGAAAATAATCTCAAAGGTCTTTCCTGTTCTTTTTAACCTTTCCTCATAGGATAAAAGAAAAGTCGGTGGCGACTCTTGCTAACCCCAACATTTGCAATCAAACGCAAAACACCCAAGTCAGTTCTCCCACCGTATCACAAGACATATCTGGATGGAGGATGATGTGACAAACGTCTCCTTTGACAGCAAGCTCTAAGATCACCGGTAGAACAGCTGGATATGACATTATAAGGTTTTGAGCGTGAGCTCGTACCCATTTGAGATAGGGCTCCAAAGGGATAGAATTCTTTTATCCTAAAGTTTTTCTATCAACCTTGTGTACCATGCCCCAAGCATGTATAAACCTTCGACGATAACCTTGAGGATCATTTTCATAGTCGAACACAATACCCAGGATAAGTGCGTCATGAGGACCATCTCTTCGAGCATAACCAAATTGTCATAAAGCCAGAGAAGGGTTGTAAGTAATACCTCCCCTAATGCCAAGGAGTGGAACATTAGGGAATTCCCCGCAACAGTCATTGAAAGTAACATTTTCCAGAGATCGGGAACACCAATAGATATCTGAATGAGAAAGCGACATCATCCTTTGAGGCCACCTCAAACCTTGTTGATTCTTCAATACTAATCGGAGAAGGTTCAAAATAAACCACCTTGATATCATAGGTATGCAACACATAAGAATCCCTTGCTTCCTCATAGTATGAGTGTGAATAGAATGCAGAATGCCTCAGAGCAAAGTAGGCACAGGGTTACGAGAAAGAAATATTTTGATGTGGCTCACATCTATGAGTTGGCCCGGATTAGGGAATAGCACCAAACCATAGATCAACAAAGCCAATATTTCTTAGAAAGCTTGAAAACTCATAGCATCCAGAAACAGCCGAGCCTTCTATAACAGAAATTTAGCAAGAAAACCCTTAACTTCGCTTCTTGTTTCCTAATTAGATACAATGTCATATCATTTCAGATGTAAGGCTGCTGCAATTTCTTCAGGTTGTGGATCTTTCTCTAAACCAGTGAAAGGTATTTGATTGAGAACATGTACTCCCAGTAATTGAGAAAACTCCTCCATTGTGGGTACCAACTGATAATCGGGAAAGGTGAAGTAGTGATGTACATGGTCAAAGAATTGGAATAGAACACTCATAATGTCTTCTCCAAAACCCGAGGTAACCAAAATGAGTAGTCGAACATGCCTTTTGATGAACGGAGAACTTTCGGGAACCCTTGAGACTAACTCTTTAAATTGAGAAGGTATCCTCACAAAACTGATCCGGATGGTGTTTCTGCGAGTGGAGGCCATAACCTACAAAACATAACAAAGATAAATCCCTAGGTCCTTGAAATGGTTAGTGAAAATGGCATGTGTAATGATGTCGTGATGTTATGATGTCATGTTAGAACAATTAATCAAACACAAGCAAAGCACACAAGGCCTAAGGTTCAGGATTGCATGGAGTTTTATAGGTAAGTACCCTCTTGAAGTTTTAGTTGGCTCAACTTGTCCTAAAAGAGGTAATCGAGTTCTAGGAATCTCAATATCACTGATTTTTCTCTCAGGCATTGTTTCAGCACAAGCATCTAAATTGCGACCGAAATATCCCGAAAGTCCAATCTCAATGAGTGTAGCATCGAGTATCAACCAACTTTAGTCTGCACCAAATCCAACCATATCACTACTTTTTAATGGCTAAGTTGTGTCAACTAAGGTTCTAAGATCAGTTAGTGCTTATGACACCACGCGGAAGCCCGACATTCTCCTTGACTGACTCAAGGGACACTGGTACAAACCAATGTGTCGCACTAACGTAGCCATCATTTCAACCATATTGATCTATGCCGTACAATTTCCACAATCTATTGCTACTTACCTAAAATTCCCCCCCAGATCCGGATATAGGATCTATACAAGAAATAAACCCAAACAACCCTTTTAAAAGTAAAGCAATTAAGCCAAACAATGAAAGCATTTAAATGTGAATTATTTCTAAGGTAACCCCACTTTTAGTATTTCCCTAGCAGAGTCTCCAGTTCTGTATGGGAGAACTGACTTTTGGGTTTTGCATTTTATCGCAAATGTTGCGGATAGCAAGAGTCGTGACCGACTTTTCTTTTATCTAATAAAGGAAAGGGTGAAAAGAACAGGAAAGACCTTTGAGAATTTTCTGAGTAAGGGGGGTAGGTTATGAAAAGGGAAGGTGTTAGCACCCTTCTCATCCGTAGTTATCTACGGGCTCTTAATTGCTAGCTCACTTTGAAAAAGGTTTTGTGTCTGTGTATGCTTTGAAAATATTTTTAAAATGCCTAAGTGCGACAATTTTGTAATGATTCTCGTATCGTTGAGAATGTATACAAAATGTTTGTTTTGAAAATATTTTGAAAGAAGGTGTTTGTTTTGTGAAAAGATGTTTTGAAAATACCAATGTAAGGCAATTTGCTTTATAATAACCTTTGTATCAATCCTCAAAAGTGTTTATAAAGCATTTTGAAAGTAGTTGTTTTGAAAGTGTGAGGTGTGAAGTTTGTTTTAGTTTGTGAGCAAGCGATTACAAGCGGTCTACCTACTCCAAAAGTATTTGCTCTTTTCCTCCTCCTTTAGATAGTGCTACCCTACTATTAGTTAGTAGGAAGTCCTATCATTGGATGTGAGGGACAGACATGGGTCATCGTACAATCATATAAGGAAACTTGTAGGACACTTTAGCAATTGTCGTAAGTTACTAAGATCATTTACCGAAGGCAGCATCGAAGGGTCATCGAGGGACTACGATCTTTTAACCGAGGGCCTTTGCTAAAGCATCTCACGTTAGAGGTACATGACTGTTTATATCCAAGGAAACAATTGAGGTTACCCTAAAGGTGTGTGTGTGCGAAGTGTTTTGATTTCAAGTATTTGTCTTGAGATTAGGTTTTCTAATGTTTGTTTTAATCTTGTCATACAAACACTAATTAATAACAGTAATAAGGAAAACAGTAAATTGCGGAAATTAAATGTTTTACGCTATTACAAGGCCTTGGGAATGGGGGTACAAATTTGTGAGTGGGGATGAAAAGCAGTAAACCCTAATTAAAGTTACTACAGACTATTTGAGCATTTACAATATTGGAAAATATTAATGCGAAAGTAAAGTGCGCGAAGGTGGTGAAAAGGAGAAAATGTTTAAGAAAACCCTAAAATATTTCTAAGCATTTAAGAAAAGATTTTATTGTTTTTGTTTAGAAAAAAAGTGAAATAAAAATTAGACCTAATTCTAATTAATTTACAATTTAATTATTTACAATAAAATAAAGTGTAATTAAATTAATTAATTTTATTTATGAAAATTAAATTAATTAATTAAAACCTAAAGAATTCTAAGTATTTAGAAAATATTCTTGTTTTTTTTTTGTTTAGAAAAATAAGTGAAGTATAAAAACTAATTCTAATTAATTAATAAAATAAAATTAAAATGATTAAATTAAATTAATTTTTATTTAACAACAATTAAATTAATTAATTAAAAACCTAAATCTAAGTTTTTTGTGATTTTATTATTTTTCTGATTAAATAAAAAATGATTTAAAAAAGAAAAAGTTAGTTAAAACAAAAAAAATAAAATAAAATAAAACGGGCCGTGTTTGTAAAGCAATTGTGTGGTGTTAGAAAACAAAAATAAAAAAGGCCCAAAACAGATAAGCCCAGGCGCCTGTTTGTAATCCAGTGTGGCCAGTCTTTGATGGTTCATGGTGGAAATGCGCGTTTGAGGCATCTAGATCTGGCTTGGTGAGATCTGATGGTGTTGATGGAGGAGTGCATCATTGCGCGATGGAGTTGCTTGCATCTGATCTACAAATAAAATGTTTAAAAAATAAAATGCCAGAGGCAGGGATCGAACCCCTGCCCTGGCACACCAACACCTTACTCACACACACGCTTGCCACTGGGTGAGTGTTTCATCTGATTATGAAACAACACCCATTAAATATATTATAAAACGTGTTCACAAATTCAAAATTATGAACTTCATCTTCTTCCTCGTGCCAGAACAACAACACCATGATTTTTGATTTTCTAAAATCCTCATTTTTCAACTTTTTTTAAAACTTCCAAAACCAAACTTGCTTGATTTTTTACCACGAATTCAACCATGTAACTTTTGAAAGCTATAAGTTAAATGCTGAAACGGATTTTGCTTGGTACCAAACTGAAACCTAATATTTCAGAAACTTCAATTCCAAAATTCTCATCACACAGTCAACATAAATGAAAACTAAGGACATGGTTAGTTTCATGGGAATCCTATCTACATTTTATATTTTGAAATCAAAAGTAAATGATGCGTGTATAAGGATTTCAAAGTTGGAGAAACTTACCTCTTGAAGTGAAAACTCAGAACGCGTATGGAGGCTCCCAGGTGCAAGTAAATGGTTGATTAAGGTTCCTTGGACCTCCCTGGAGCTATTCCAATCCTTACTTTGTACTGAAAGTTACTGAAATGCTCTAGCCAAGTCAAGTTGCAGGTGGTGAAAGTGAGGTTTGGACAATGATGGTGGAGGTGTTACAATCGTGCCAAGAGTGTTTAGACAACGTTTATTTGATGGATAAAAGGTATTTGAATGATAAAAGAGGAAAGCGCACAAGTGGATTTGAAGTTAGATGTTGGAAGCTTCAAATGTGCAACAATGGAGTTTTTAAGTGATTCTAAGTTTGAGAGTGTTTAAGGGCTTGTCCAATCATGACTTGGCTTATAAATGGGCCCTATATTTATAGAGAAAAGGTTTGAGGGCTTGAAGTAACCAGAATCTTGAGATATCATGTTATGGTTTGGTTGCTTAGTTTTAAAGTAACTTTGAAAAATCATGGTTCCAAGGCATTGTACCATGTCTCGTAGATTTGTTGGATACTTTAAGCAAGCTTATCTGATCTTTTAAGTTGATTGTATGCAGAGGAAACAATGTATAGGCTCAAGTAGAGTTGACAATTGCATAAAGCATGCTTTATGGGAACGGAAGTGTGGTCTTTTTCCTAAAAACGGAATGATGCATTGGACAATGCTTGAATCACTTGGATCATGGCTTAAAAGTGTGTGTAATCTTCTGATTATGGTTAGGTTTGGAGTTTAGAGGCCTGCAAGGTGAGATTATGCAGCATGGTTTGGAGACTTGGTTATGAACTTGTCACAAAAAGGACCTATAATGCAACCTTAGATACCCAACTTCATCTCTTCGAAACTTCTAGCTCAAGCATGATAAATTTGTGTTCTTGGACATTTTGGAAAGCTTGAAACGTTGTCTACAACTTTCATGTTGACGACTTTGGCTAAATAAATTTGGATCTTGGTGAAAATGCCCATGAAGTTGGGATCAAAAATTGATTAAAACTTGTTGAAAAAATTTCTAAGTGTTGGATAAAAAACATTATAACTTAATGGGCTTATATCTCTTAAATTAAGCACTTTTTGAGGATCATCCCACATTAACAAAGTTGTAGAGTTCATCAATCCCTTCAACTTTCATGTTGAAATTTTCCCTTGAATCAACTTGTATCTTGAGGAAACTTGCTTGTGAAGTTAGGGTTTTTAGGCACAAAACACTTGAATTTTTTTCTAAGTGTTTGAAAATCTTGACTTTTGACTTTTGTTGACTTTCTTGATTCTTGATGATCAAGTTTGATAGTTTTGAATGTTTTAATGATTCTTGATTTTTGAATTCCAATGTTGACCAAAAAGTCAAAGTTTAACTTTTGTGTGACTGTTGACTTTTCATCAATTGATTCAATTCCTCAACTATTAATCACTTATACCTTTGGAAATGTCTTGAGCCTTGTAATTAGGTCAAGATGTTGTATTTGAGCTCTTGAGAACATGCTTCAAGCAATTAGGTCATGCACTAATCCAAAAGTCAATGATCAGTCATCCTCAATAAAAACCCTAAATTGGCAATTTTTTGACCTTTGATGATTTGAGGGCTTCCCTTGAGGAATCATGATCAACCCTTGATAAAATGATGAATATCGCCTAAAAATGTTGGTGTTGACCAAAAATATTAAAGTTTGACTGTATGTTGACAACATTTGACTTTTTACTCAATACAGTTGATTTTCAATCATCTGAGCTATTGACTGAGAAAACATGTGATGAAAGACTTGAAACCTAACATAAGAAATATTGAGAACCTATGATGAACCGTGAAAATCATTTAAGACCCTTGCAACCCAAACATCCTGGAGAAGCACAAAACCCTAGTTGAAGACCCTTGCTCAGAAGGTAAGTTTGTCTGATCAACTCTTGAGAATCCTTGAGTATTTGAGAATCTTAGAAGAATGTCTTGAAGAAAACGGGAGGAAAAATTTTGGGGTACAACAGTCGTGCTAAAAGTGATCGCAATCAGGTTGTGGGAGTGGTGCTAATTTCCAATCATGCGCCTGTTCAACAACAACAACAAGGCAGTCAACATAGCTTAGACGCTCCGAGAAGACAATTTATGAAGATCAATATGTTGTTGTCTCAGGAATTACAACATTTACTGAAAGCAGAATTGATAATAGCAAGGGAGCCTCCTCAGAATCCAAACACCTCATCCCCTTGCTATAATCCAAATGTGAAGTTTGCTTACCATTCCAACAACCATGGGCACGACACCAGTAATTGTTGGGCCCTAAAAAACAAAATTCAAGATATGATTGACAACAAAGAGATTGATTTTGATCCTCCAGAGACTCCGAATATAGTTATTGCACCAATGCCGAAGCAAGACAAAGATGTAAGTGCTATTGATGATGTTATTTATGTTGCTACTGAAAGTGAATTGGTTACTCCCCTCCTAATTATCAAAGAGAATTTGTTGCACGCCAATTTATTTCTGGGTTGTATTGAAAAATGTTACTGTTGTGCAGCCCAACCCAATGGTTGTAGTTTATTGAAAGAAGGCATTCAACGCCTAATGGATAATCATATAATTTTGATCGAGAAAATTCCGGCTGCTAAGAATTTGTTTCAAGAGTTATCTGTAATATCTGGTAATCTTGTCAGGATTATCTCCAAAGGTCCTGTAAGGATTACTTCCAATCCAAAAGTTGCTCCTCGAATAATCATTGCACCTGGATTCTAATTAATTCCATTCACTCCCAGGGTAAGATTGGATCATTTACAATGATCTAAATGGCCAGAAAACATTCATGCAAACGTCACAATTTCATCCATATTTAAAATTCAATATTTTTTTATTTTTACTGCATTCTAATGTTTACTAACGTTTGTTGTGTGTTCATGAGGTCTAATAATGTTGAATAGAGCAATCTCATGAGTCCCATGCATGTTAGACTGTAAAACACCATGTTTTCTCCAGTCAGCTTTGCTTGCTTCGAAACTCATGATCCAAGGACTTTTATCCAAAACTAAACCCATATTTGGATTCAGGAGGGTTGAATTATGGGGGACAAGACATTTTGGATCATTAACCATTTAAATTTTGCAAGTTTTGGATACACAGGTCGCCGAAGAAGACGACCGGAGCTAGGGCTCCGACGCTTCTCTGGCCAATGCATTTGATTATATAATATATATTTACGGATTCAGTTATATGAATAGATGAAACAGCCACCCCAAAGGCAGAAGCGCGTGTGATAAGGCATTAGTCTCAAAGGTCATGGGTTTGAGCCAGCCTTTTGACACTTTTTTTCTAATATTTCATATGTTTTGCAGATTAATTATAAAACATGGTGAATGTGTATCCTAGCATAGGCGCACGCTTGGCTCAGTTGGTATGCATGCTGCTTGGAGATGCAGGGGGCGTGGGTTCAACGCCCACCCCCAACATTCTGTTTCCTCTATTTTTTTTCATTAACATTATTTTCTCTTTTTTACCTTAACCTTAATTCTTCAATAAACCCTAATTATTTTTAATCAACATTAAAATAAATTGGGTTTAGTTTTCTTTATCATAAATTAACTTTGATTTTTATTTATTAAAATTAATTAGGATAATTAATCTCAATTAATTTAATTACCTAACTTTTTCGATTAAATTAAAATCAACCTAGACTTTAGGGTTTGCTCAATTTAATCAATTAGGTTTAGGTTAAATAATCAATTATTTTTCATCAAACAATTCCTCCGTTTTACTGTTTCGTGCGTTTTATTATTTTCACATTAGTTTTCCTATTATGTAATTGCTACAGAATGTAATAACTTAAATTAGGGTTTTTGCTTTCTTTCTTTCCCCAATTTTGTATGGTTTGTACCCCCTTCCCCGAAGCTTTGTAATAGTGTAGGACGTTTAATTTCGGTCTTTACTGCTTTCCTTATAACTGTCTAGTTTAATATGAATTGTATGACAAGACATAAAATAAAATGTTAGATAACCCTAAATTCAAGATTAAATAACTGAATTCAACATACTTTTCACACACTCACCTTTAGGGTAACCCCACTTGTTGCCTTCGAATAAACAATCATGTCCCTAGAACGTGGAAACACTTTAGCAAAGACCCTCGATTAAAAATATTATAGTCCCTCGATGACCCTTCGATGCTGCCTTCGATAAACGATCTTAGTCCATACGATAAAATTACTAAAGTGCCCTACGAGTTTCCTTTATGACTGTATGATGACCCGCGCTTGTCCCTCACAAATCTAATGATAGGGCTTCCTACTAATTAATGGTAGAATAACACTATCTAAATGAGGAAGAAAATAACATGAAAGTCTTTCGAGTTGGTAGATAGCTCGTAATCGCTTGCTCACAAAAACAAAACATATTTTCTCACGAACAATTTTCTTAAATATTTTCCAAAACAAACACTTTGTATGCGTTCTTAACTGATACGAGAATCATTTCAATGTTTTCCGCACTTAGGCATTTTCAAAATATTTTCAAACATATACACAAAAGCATTTTCAAACAAAGTGAGCTAGCGATTAAGAGTCCGTAGATAACTACGGATGAAAAGGGTGCTAACACCTTCCCTTTTCATAACCTACCCCCCGAACTCAGAAAATTCTCGAAGGTCTTTCCTGTTCTTTTCATCCTTTCCTTATTGGATAAAAGAAAAGTTGGTGGTGATTCTTGCTATCCGTACATTTTGGGTAAAACTAAAAAGTCAGTTCTCCCACCGTATTATATCACTTTCCCCTTAAAAAGTAACCGATCAGTTACCCATAGCAACAAAACATTATAATGCACTGAATTTATTTTTGTTCTTTAAATTAGTTTCTACATTTATTTGAAAGCAAACAAAAAATTGAAACTAAATGACATCCCTTGTATTAGGCTAGATTAAGGCCAAAGAGATGAAAATTATGGAGTATAAGTGTTGGTTTTCATCTCACAGTAATTAATTGAAATAATATTCTATCTTTCTACCAAAGAGTATGAAAACAAAAAATATACCTTTCTTGTATCCAAGCATCAAATTTATCCCCAATGAACCAATAGTCTACCATAGCTTCTCTTTGTCTCTTCCCTGTCCCTTCATTATGTAAACTGATAAGAGTATGAGCAGCTCGTATTCTAGATGGTTTATCTCCCAAATGTTCAAGTGAAACCCATTCCTTTAAAGGACTTGCACCTTTGAAACAATGATTTTTTGTACTTATTCACATCGAAAGAGTGCTACCAATATTACACAATTACATAAGATCTTCATTTGAAATGACCAATGATGAGCATCATAAAAATCATATCCAAAATGCTTAATTTGAATTCAGACCCACAATTGTGAATTTATGGATTAAACCTACGACAAAACCACCTTTGAAAAAAATATCAAAATGAGTTATGTGATCTATCTATGAGCTTTTTACATCCAGATATTCTATTATAGAGGATTCATGAGTTGAACACAAATCCCTCCATTGACTCTTGCAAATAGTTAAAAAATCAGAAAACAAAACCATGTATTATGTCTTATTGGTCAAGTAGTAAATAATGTATTTCATTCTCATCAATGAACAGAAATGCATGACCGACCTTCATCTGCTACAAGCCTGTTGTAGCATCCTTCAAACTTAATAAATTGGTTGTGAACCATGTTACTTTAAATCCTATTACATATTTAAAAACCTGATACATATGATTGCTTCAGTTAGCCAAGAATAGTTGGTAAAATCCAGAACAGCAGAACCTAATAATCTACAAAGTAGTTACAATAACTAATAACCCAAAAAAATCAACACTAACTGAAGAAGGCTCCAGCATCGCACAACGAGCAACTCCTAAAATGGATGATGACAGAAAGGTCATACCAGACATGAAAATTGAAGCTTGATACCAATAGCTATCCTGGATCCGCACATGAATAACACCACCAGAGGCTATAGTGCGATAATTCATATAGAATAGATGCAAAACATCAAACATAATCTACCATCGATGTATCACACTACTTTACCAAATTTGGATCGGTTCCTCTCAATTTCGCATGGAAAATTCATTTATGTTTAGATTGATATCCAAACTAATAAAAATTGTTATTTACCTCTAAAATTGATGGATAATACCTTCAAATGGATTCGGAGAATTTCTTCGCCAATTATGCAGTGCTATCGAGAGTAGTAGAGCGAGTTATGTAATAATAAAAAGCATGAGAAAAGAGAGACAAACACCACACGAGGGATAGATCCCTGGAAAAATCCTGGTGCAATCTCTCTCTAAAACCAACAAATCTTATTATATTATTTTGTTGACCTGCCAAGCAAGCGCACCTAACATGGCAAAGGTCGAATGGAAAGAGCTAACCAATGCATACAGTCATGATACATCCCTACATCCATTCCATCTCTTCCACAAAACTATCAAGTATATACATAATTAAAATCTCTAAGATGTGCAACATCTCAGTATGAAGTATGCATCGCCTACAATTTAAGAACATAATCATCCTACATCCATTATATAGATATGTCTGATATGCTCCACAATCAGCCTCCGTACCTGGATAAAACCTTGACAGCCTTCCCTTGATTTACAAGGGAATCAAGTACTTCTCAATTTGAAATTCTCAAAATAACCATCTAATTTGAATACCCAGTCTATTCCTATTGTAATTAGAATTAGCAATTGAAAACATTAATCTGCATTACCAAAACATTATAAAAACCAGAAAACATTACATTGCTTAACATAGGTGAGAACTTTAGTCATTTCACCTTGAGATTGAAGAGGATGACACTAAACATAAGTATCCTGAATCCAAAGCATTTCTTCATGTCAAGGTTAGGGTTGTTGTTTTCACGATGCAAATAAAGTACCCAAGTAAATGGTAATTTGCAAATGAACATCTAATATAAATATGGGTTATTTAAATAGCATAATTTCATTTCACAATAGAGCATAAATTCATTTCACAATAAATCCAAATGAATATATGTAGACAAATGATACATAGGTGCTGACAGAGGCTACAATCCTACTTTACGTTTGGACATTTGGGATAAATAAACATCAATGTAAACTAACATACATGAAACCATTACCTCCATGTAAACATTGTATTTCAACACCACTTATTTCTTCATGCATGCCTTCAATAAAAAACATAACAAAGAAACTCATGTAACAAAAAGTCTGATGATGAAATAGTGTTTACCACGATTTATCGCGGATTTATCGTAGCACCATCACCGAGTGCATATACATTATTGCATCCTTCAGTAGCTAGAGCACGCCTGCTAGCCTGTTTAAAAGAGAGAATGCTAACATAATAGTAAATAAAATGGAGTTATGAAAAGTATAAAGAGAAATTTTTAAACAACACATCTGACCAATTTGTGACATGAAATCTTTAATAAACGGATGAGTACTGATACGAGTTGACTAGACAATTATTCCATATGAAATTGTAGTAATATTACATCATCATTGACTTCAGACCTGGACTTGTCAGATCCCTCTTCCTCAGATGCAACTTTTCCTTCACCTTAATACGTAAAATTTATTTCAATCAATCACAATAGATAACACAAATCAAAGTAAAATTGATCAATAACTAAACAAAGAATTTACCAATGAAATATTGTAGGCATGTATAGCTTCTCATACTCCTCCTCCTCCTTCTCTGCAGTAGCAACATAAAGAGCCTTCTCCTGAAATAAACGCAAAATATAAAACGACGTTAAAATTAAAAGAAAAGTGGGTTTCATTTGATTTCAAATGGAAAGAGGTAGAATAAAAGAAAAAACAAAATAAAAGTGGGTTTCAACCCTTTCATTTATATTGAAATACATATCTATGATCACTTTTTGCTACTCATCTTCATCATGTGAAACGAACACCACCCACCAATTTTGAACTTGTTTTCTTAATTCCAATAACAATGTCATGTTCAAAATTTTATCATTTTTTCAAGCATACCATCAATTCAATAATACAATAATAATGAACAATAAAAAAATCAAACTAAAAGTGGAATTAGGGAGTCACAAAACATGTCCAGCCACCACCGCAGAATATCGGCATCACTACCGGCCAAAAACGTTCAGGCCCCAACTGTAGCGCTACTGCAGACCACCATCCGCGCGATATACCCCCTCCAGTCCACGACTTAACCACCATACCGTTGTAACCTTGTTTTCCGGCCGCAATTTCGATAATCACCACCGAGCGCCCAGACACCTTAGGACCGCCATCAACCTCCTCGCAATCTTCGAGTCAATCCACCACAAGTGTCAGCGATTGGTGGCCTTTCCTTTATGATCTCAACCTAGTTTTTGATTTTGTTATATGGTAGATTTGGACGGCGAATCGGAGGCATGTGGAGGAGATTGGTTAGATTGAAATCCCTAAGGAGGGAAAATTAAGTGCAATAATATTATGAGAGATTAAATGAATGAAAATGGATCGTGGAGTAGTGAGAGGGGTGGTTTATGAAGATGAAGGTGGAACGGTTTCCATCAAAAGTGCGTTGGAAGGAAGAGAAATGATTGAAAAATCTTCAATTTCGTAACTGCCATTGAAAAACTGAAGTGGAAAATCAGTTCAGAAGGGTTAAAACGATTAGGATGAGAGTTGAACTTTGTAGATGATAACAAAATAATTGTGATATCACGAAGTCACGTGGCAATATATGAGAAAATCAGGTTTGAGTTTTCTTATACGATAAATTTTTTTCTTCTCTCAAAAAACCACGTGTTGTGATTTTAAAAGAAAAGGACAAAATTGACTTTTTGAATAGATTTGATTTTCTTATATTATAAATGATAAAATATTCATTATTTTTCTATTAAATAATATAGTTAAAATTTAATAATTTTAATCTGTGTGTCTATTAAATTTAAAAAAATAGTTCTATGCATATATGCGAATTACTGTATAAATTTGTTTTATTTTAAAAAATTTATCAAGAATTATAGTGTGCTCCTCCAGTTTAACACTATTATCGGAAAGTTTAATAAAAATGATAACATATATCCATTATTTTTCTATTAAACATTGTAGTTAAAATTCAATGATTTTAAGTTTTCTGTATATAGTTTGTATTATTAATTAAAGTATTCAAAAGTAATGGAACAATCACCGAAACTAATCTTCACTTTCTTCAAACGCGTGTCGTATTATGGAAAACGGTGATAACAGACATGTCGTTAAAAGAACAAAATTGGGAAAAAATAGAAATTTATCAGAGCCTGGTTTCGATCCAGGGACCTGTGGGTTATGGGCCCACCACGCTTCCGCTGCGCCACTCTGATTTATATTTATTGTTTCCGTAATTAATTATTTATATGATATTTGTTAAAAACTAAAGCAATTCACGAGAACCTTCCAGCAAATTAGTGTTTTGACATCTTCTGGTGGCACTTGGGTTTGGTCTTTTATGATTGAAATCTAACAAATGCTTGTAGTTTTTGGATGAGCTACGTTTGGTCCCAAGATCCATAAATACTTCAATTTTGAGACAAATATCTAAACCCATACGTGAAAATATTCTTTTTTCTTTTTAATTATATATTTTAAGCTTTTTAAATTAAGAAGAGATTTGCGTTATTGTAGAAATATTTCAAGTTTTATCACTAGCTAGTAGTACAATATAGGGCTAGCTACAATTATAAATCATAACTTGGCAATATAATCTCAGTATTTTGTGGTAAGAACATACTCCATAGTAAGGTGAAACTCACTTATTATTGGTTGCACTTGCATGGTTATTTTTTTATTTTATTTTTTTAAATTGATCCTTGTTTTAAAAGTATTTTTATAAAAATAAATGACAATATATTAGAGATAATTAGAGTTTTCGAGTAATTTTTTATTTAACTTTGTAATCCATTTTTATTTATGATGGTTTTTATTTCCTTCATAGATCTTTGAATACCTCAATAATATATGACTTCTTCCATGTTCTCTACATGCTGGTTGAGGTTGAGAAATTCTGAATTTGGAATTTAAATGATTTTTTAATTGAGGTTTTTTCATGATCAAGTTTATGTATGTGATTGTAGTTATGTTTCCGATGTTACGGGGAATTGGTTACTCAAGTGTGTTAATTATCCTTGGATGAGGATTAGGAGACAAAATTGTCGTATTGATAATGACATCTAGAATGTAGCAAAATTATAGAGATCCTTGTGGCTCCCCGACTTGACAGACGCTTAAGAATTCATTTTGATCGTTCTCTATCTGCTCGAGGTGACGGTTAGATCGACGATCATTTAATCCCGATCTTAGACTATAAACATCAAATCCTTGACGAATGACTCTTTATTGGTCGTTAAGATCAAATAGTAGATGACCGCAATAAGAGAGATTCCATTCTTGGGTTGAATCATTGGTTATGGTGATAAGGTAATTGTTAAACCCTTGACGAGGATTGTGTTGCATGCATCACTTTTTCTCTTTGTAGTTAGTGGAAAGTGGTTAAGTTTTTTTAGAGGAAAGAAAATATCGGCACTTGTTGTTGGGAAAAACTGACATAGAGAAAAATAAAAGACACAACCACAATACAAGAACATAACATAAAAACTCTGAAACTGGAGAAAAAATCATGAGCATTGTCAAATGACAACTAGAGAATAATACTATGTGAAAACTATTAACATATAATTTACCTTTAACGACCCTCATACTCTCAGTACAACCTCACCTCCCAAAGCAAATATTTAACACATCTCATAATACTCTAACACAAGAGTATATGTGAGCCCAAAAAAGTCAAATATAAGCTTAAAGTGATTTTGAATGGTGCATTTTGTAATGAAGAGCTTGAATCATTTATATAACCTTAGACTCCCTCTTCCTTTGTAAAACTAAGCAATGTGAGAATTCTTTAATATGTATATTTTCAATTCACCCAAATAATCTCCACCTTGATTGAAAATAGTACATCAACTTCCATTGTCTTCACCTACAATCATAGTTAAAAAGAGCTATCATACTCCACCATAAAGAGTATAGTAACTTGAAGCTACACCACTTCAAGATTTTTCACATTATCTTTACCGACAATCATAGTTCAAAAACTATCATACTCTAACATGAAGAATATATTTAATTTGAAGGTAAACCTCTCCAAGAATTTTACATTGTCATCATCGAAAATCATATACTCTATCATGAAGAATATTCACTTGAAGCTAAACAACTACAAGAATTCCACATGTCGAAAAGCAGGCTGAAAACTTATGATGCCACTTCCATGTGTTCAGGAAGCTCTTAAACCACCAACATAATCTCATAATACACCTTGCATCAATGTCAATCAATGTTCATGTACTAACCATTAATCAACACCTTGTGACATTCCAGTTGTATCAACACATATTTGACTTGAACTTTCTACAGGTACATTTTCAAATACAAGCTTAAATTACTTTTGACTTATGTATTTCATAATGAAGTACTTTAATCCTTTACATAGCCTTACACCCCCTCTTCCTTTACAAAACTAAGAAACCTAAGATTTCTTCAACATGTACATATGTAATCAACCCTAACAGTTATTTAGAGCACCACTGATCCAAACTAGTGAATCGAACTAGACCAAGATGAATGGATCTAGAGAGATGTGCGTCTGTTGGATGCTCTGAGTATGAACTAACAATGTAGTACAATCGAATACTTTAACACTTAATATAGTAAGCAGAGAATAAATGAGAGGTTTTCGGAATAAAAGTTCTATATCTTAAACTCTTACTTATAGGCTTTATATAATAATTTTTTTGGGGCGAAGGGACTTATGTTATGAGGAACATTATGAGCATTGATAATCTTGTGATCCTCGTCGTTATTGGAGATGTTTTCTTTTCCCGACCCTTGTACTGGTTGTTACTTGCTGGTTTGTGTGCTTGTTTTAGATCGTGGAGTGGACTTGGTACAACCATAAACAAAATGCTTGCATATTAATAATTGTCCTTACAAATCTTTCAGCAAAAACATCAACCAAATCAGTTCTCCTTTAGTGGAAACAGATCCTCTCCTGCTTTTCTTCTACTGCCATCTCTCTTGTGCCATTAATGATCATGGAATATAATCTAAATGGTTGTTTTTTCACATGTTTAATGCAAATTTTGGCTTAAGATTACTCCAAAGGCCTACTTTTAGTGTCACATGATAAGATAACGAGTTTAGGTCCCGCATATTTTTGGTACATGTGACACATCTTTCAGCTGAAACATCAACCAAAACAGTTCAGATGTGGCACAAGAAAATTATATTTATTCAACTTTAAAATATAGTCTATACATGGTTTATTATTTCTTTGTTATCCAAGAGATTAAGAAAGACCCTAGGAAAAAGGAATCACCTGATATGGTCTTTCTAGGTTCAATACAACCGACCCAAAATTGTATTAGAGTAACCCAACATTTGCAAATTCGAGCTTTTATGGAACATAAAGCCTCAACCAAAACTATGGTTTATGTACCTGATAACTCTGCAAGTAGTTTGATAATGAGACATAATGGAATTATGAAGAAACCGGATAAATTGTTGTGTAGAAAATATGATGTTTGGTCTGGTTGTATACAAGTAAGATAGGTAAACAATCAACATTTCTATATGAACCAATGTCTTCAAAGAGTTTACCACCATCTACATGTAGTTTAATTGAATGATCGATGAGGTAGAAGCATGTCTTAAATTTAGAAGACTAGATTCATTCAACAAATCCAAACAATATTTTTTTTGTGAGATTGAAATACATTCTTTTGAAAGTTCCACTTCTAAACCTAGAAATTATTTGAGCACTCCCAAGTCCTTGATTCTGAAACTCTTGTTAAGAATTGTCGCTACCGCAAAAAAATATCAAATACAATGAAGCCACCATCAAATGTTTATTTATCCCAGGCAAGGGAAAGGAAAACATAGAAGAAAACCTATAAAGGAAAAGATTATGGTATCGCGACCAAGAGAAAGTTAAGGGAGTCAATTATGCAAGAGGAAGGTATTAATATCCCTCACGCCAATTATACTCAACGGGATCCACTCTTGTTATTCTAATTAAAGGGTGTGTTACATCTAAAGCTTACAAACTAGGGAAAGCATGAATGAGTTGTTAAAGAACAAAAAGAAAGTTTTTTATTATTTATCCCGCCTCGGTTTTGAAACATCATGTCTACGTA